CCCCCCCCCGCCCTTAAAATAAACCAGTCAGATTACAACAGATTAAGATACCATCCTAACTCAAGCATCATTTTTAATAATGTATGTATTGATATCTATTTGAAATCAGCACTTTAAAGTAATCAAATAAAATACAAAGACAACTTTTTCCCTGTAGTCTCAGTCCTAGGCTTGTGAAGATTTTGTAGATAATCAGCAGTTCACACTATCTCTTCCTTCCTGTTCAGGATACAATGTAAGCCAGCCCAGGTCAAGCTGTAAATATTTCAAAGAAAGCAGGTTTTCCCTAATGTGATAAATGATACTTTTTCCTACATCCCATTAAGATCTATAAACTCACTGTCTTTGAAGTGTTTGTCCTCCTCTTTCAGGGTATCAGAACTCCAAAGAGAGAAAGAAAAATATCAACATCTGTAACACTCCTAAATTCTTACCAGTCTTTGGCACCAGCTTTGTATTTCAAGGTTACTGAAGTGTCATTGAGAGAAGTGTTTTTCCCTACTGAAATTTAACAATATTAAATAAATACATAAAGATTATGCAAGTGGAACCAAAGTTTCAGGCGAGCTCTCATAATACAAGGAGAAACTGAAAAACTATATTTCACAATGGACAGAATAGTCAACTATTATGAAAATTATCTTAACATATAATTTGTTTCTGTCTGGAGGTTGACTGCATTGAGTATTCCCTATGCCCAAAGTCTCTAACTTGGAAAATCTGTCACAGCCATCTTTGAAATACATCATCTCTGAAAATACTTGAACAATCACATTTATAACCAAATATTTTTGGTTTACTGTGTATAGTAAAAAATCCTTTTGAATAATATGTGAAAGGAAAATAACTGTAATAGGAGTACTGATAGGCTTTGAAACCTAGGAAACACAAACTTAATTCAACAGGTTAAGAGAAAACCTATTGGAATAAAATACTGGTTTTAAATGGACAATTTGAGCCATACCTAGAAAAATAGGAGCAGATTTGCCCTGTTCTCTATGTTGTTGAATAGAAAGACTCACAGATTGTCTCTTTTTTTGATAGAAAAGAATTATTACAGAATGTTAGGAAGTCATAGCCCAACCAAAGCAAACTCCAAATAAGCTATACAGGAAGTTGATTCCATTCTCACTGGAATAAACTTTTTTAGAGCAAGAGCGGCTTTCTTTGGTTTAGCATAAACTTCAAAGTGACAAACTCAATTAAAGTTACTTGTATTCCAGACTAAAAGTCCCTGCAGAGCGTTATAGCTGTAGCTGCTTAAATTCACACTCAGTCTTGCTCCACTATGATTTTTCTGAACAAACAGTCCTAAGATGTGGACTCATCATGATTAGAAGACAGACTGTACCCCAACATTTGCCAACAAGTTTAAATCTAATAATCTGTATTTATTGATAAATATGTATAATTTAATAAAAATCAAAGTTATAACTAATTTATCCTTTACCATTAATAGCTTTCCAAGAAGTTCTGAGGTTGATCTTTCTTAACTCCCATCTACTCCCAGAAAAGCATGACAAAAAGTTGTTATATAGATTCTACTCCCTTTCAATACAAGTAAAATATGGAGAGCATCAGAAGCATTAGATGGAAGCTTAACTCTCTTTAAAAGGGAATCAAAATATACTCAATATGCCATAGGTGAACTTTTGCTTAATATTTAGAAACAATTTAAAAATTAGAAGGGGTATTTTTTAAAAAAAAGTTAACATTTTGAAATGGTACAAGTTGGTTTCATAGAGGTCTGTTATTCATACCCATTTTGTAGGAAAAAGAAGTTAAAATTAAGATCACTGCTTCCTCACTTCTTAAGCATGGTTCTAAATGAATAACAACAAGGCTGAATGGATATGATTTATTAACATGCATTCATTATAAATATGTTTAGTCAACTAGCACAGTACTTCACAGACCACAGTTGCAGAGTTGGCAAACCTAAGATCGAACTTGGTTCACTGGCAAAAATACCATTTCACACATTGTCAGTTTGCTGGTTCTATAAAAGCAATCAAGCCAGATTCTCCTTTGTACACGTGACATCAGCCTGTGCCGAGCTAACTGACTGATACTACTAAACGAGGTTTCCCCACATGCAAAGAAACAGAAATCCAGTTCATTCTTCCAATTGACATCAGACCTACACATCTAACAAGTAATAATCAAATATTTAGGTTTTAGTCAGTCATTTAAAAAAAACCTTCTAAGATTAAGCATCTCAGTGACAGAACTCCAAATATTTATTTCAAATACCCACAAAACATGGCATTATTCGATGCCTGCACAACTCTAGCAGTGATACTTCACATTTTTCTAGCAAAAAATATGAATCCCTAATAGCTTTCTTTTGGAGATGTTCTATCACCTTGTGGAAGCAGATACATAAACTTTGGTTAGAGAGGCCAAATACAATATCTAACCTTCAACTATCTCTTTCCTTTCAGGCATCCACCCATTCTACATGCTCAGATAGAATCACAAAGTGTCACACTGTGACAGCAAGCAACAGGGGATTGTTAACAGGAACTGGGAAAACAAGAGCTCAGACCCTGTATAATACTTAAAAAGAGAGTTCTCTCTATCAAGATGACATACATCTGACTTGAAAAGGCAGGTATCACAATAAGAATTTGTAAACATTAACGACTTAAGAGCAGACTTATTGCATAACTTCTTAAACATTACACACACAGCCCTCAAAACCCTACACTGAACATTTCTTGCCTGGGAAAGCAATTACTCATTTACTACTGAAAGTGGTGCAGTGATTTAGAGAGCTGAATACGTGCTGTGCTTTCTTTGGAGTTCCTACTGATGACCATACTGCTAACAGCAGGCACCGAACCACAAGCTACAGCTTGCATAAACCAGATGATCAGTGTTACTTTAACTTAATCTACTGACCAAAAGTGCAACAGGCAGATTTAAAGATTTTGCTGAATTAAGGTGCTGAAAAGATCATAGGTTATCAGTTCCTGCTAATTATTAGCACGTTAATAGTTGTAAATCCATCTGAAAAGTACCTGTACTCCTCAAAACAGATTCTGACCATTTCCGATTTACGGGTAATTAAACTAAAAGACAACGTTAAAGAAAAGGCTAAAGCTACAGACTGACTCAAGCTAGAGTGACTAAAAGCAAAGAAGGATCAACAAAAAGCCATTTAGTCCCTGGCTCTGCACCAAAACCTGTCAGTAAAACCAAACGCCTGTAAAAATATCAGACGCCTATCAAAACTTTGTGCAAAGCACTCACCCTACAAGAAATAAATTGAAAAAAAACTCACAGGAAGAAAATGAAGATTGTTAACACTGCAGACTTTTAATGCATACGGAGCTAACCATTCATAAAGTCTTCAGAACTTCCATTCAGAAGGCAAAATTATTAGAACTGCCCCTGTTACCTAAGCACTCGCTTAGATCATAGAAAAATTAAAAGGAAAAGGGGGGTTTGGAGGTGGGTGTTGCGCCGAGGGAAAAAGGCACGAATGCCACATTTTCCCAAACAAACTCAGCCACCTTCCCTCCCAAAAGAAATCTCGTCTGTCACATCCTTATGCCCCGGGGCTGAAAACACGGAGAAGGACAGGGAGGTGGGCATTACCTGCCAGCGGCCGTAGCTGAGCAGCAGGAGCGCCAGGGGGATGGCGGTGCCCGACATGGCGTGGGTGGAGGGCATGCTGTACTCGGAGTTGTAGAAGACTTCCAGCTTCACCACGGGCGGGGAGGCAGGCCGCGGCCAGCGGATGACATCCTTGGTGCACTGCCCCAGGTACATCACCCACACCCAGATGATGATAAGCCTCCGGCCCAGCCAGGCGTCCAAGTTCCAGATGCAAAAGGGGAAGAAGAGGATGTAGAAGAGCTCGTTGCCCAGCTCCGTGCCCAGGCTGAAGAGATAGTAGAGGAAGTGGCTGCGGGTGGAGAACTCCTGGCTGCCGTCCTCCTCCGTGAGGGAGTTGCGGCGCGGCCTCCTCCTCCACCGTTGCGGGGGACCAGCCCCGCCGGGCACGGTCCCGTTCCCGGCAGGATGCCCCTGCCCTCCCGCTCGCTCCGCGGC